GGGTGGGGGGCTAATTTCTTAAGGGGGTAGGCCGAAATGGCCAAATTTGTAAAAAATGGCCATTGTCCAACGGTCTAAAATTTAAAAAAAAAAATTCCAACGGTAACCGGTCTGAACTGGGTTGTAGCCCGATAAAAACCTGGTAGGGGGTTACCGGGTTCTGGAGCACGGGTTACCAAAAATGTCCGTTCCCGTCTGGCTCCCCCCAACCCTCCCCAAACCATCCTACCCCTAGCGTATCGGGTTGAACCGGGCTATCATTGGGCTGGCACGACCCGATTAACAGGTATAATCTGAAGAGCAATTTTTTCACTTCAGACCCGATAAGTCTGAAGTTGATCGTAAAGTGGGTAGGCTTGCAATTTTTTTTTGCAAAATGGGTATAGGTTCAATTGTGACCCCAAAACTAGGTATAGTTGCAAAAGCTCTGAATTACTTGATGTCAGGCTCCCATATTATATTGTCCATATTTCAACTGACAGACTTGGGCATACACATGAATGGTAGGAGGGTGTTGAGTTGTCCCACATTGATGGATGTAAAACATTTAGTCCTCAAGTCGTGATTTAGCTTTTGGACACTTGGAAGAGGAGGTTTACTGGGTTCGGTGATTTACCTGCTGTCGGGTTTGTTGATGAAAAACATATCATTACTCATTCTAAGGGATCCTACTTAGAGATTAGGCAATACAGTCAGACCTCTCTATAACAGGCTCGTTTGTTCCGAAATTTTTTGGCTGCTTTTGTGTAGTGCTGTTATAGAGGAAACATATTATAACATAATAGTATAATATTCGATTCCGAGAAAAACTCGGCTGTTATAGTTAATTGTTATTATATAGGGATGTTATTATAGAGAGGTTTGACTGTACTTGTTTAGTCCTGAAATTTTAAATTAAAAATCTCAACTTCATGACAATTCAGGATATTTTTGTCCTGAAAAATTAAAATTCAGGACTCTCTATCTAATTCTTAACTTAACAACCCTTTAGAGTTGCTACCCAGTGTCATCTTAAGAAATTTGACCATCACATTCTATAGGCATATAAAGGAAACTATATCAAATGTAAATTCCCTGTATCTTTTATTTTTAAAATAGGCAGAATAGCCTAAATGACACTTATACTTGTGCCACTTTGTCATCCCGGTCCCCAAACTTAATGAAGTTTCATCTAGACACCTCTACTCGTTCAAAAGTAATATTTTAAACCCTTCTGACCATGTGTGTTCCTCAATCGTCTCACTGTATTATCCACGTCAGATAAAAATATTCCATGTCATTATTTTTATTCACAAAACTATTTTTGGAAAAGGAAAAGTTTAATCCTAAAGTTTTCTCTCACAAACACATTCATGCCTTTCTCTCTCTGAAAATCAGCCATTAGCAGAGCCTACCCTATGCTCCAGTCATAGCAGAGCAGTACTATGTTTGTTAATCCTCCTTGTTACGAGCTAGTCTGTCCCGGTGTCTAAGCTCGGCTTTTTTCCACCTCACAATCAGGTAACATAGTGATAAGAGGGTATTAACCTGGAAAGAAGAAAAGTGCGCAGCAAATTAGTGAGTGAAAACACTAGAAATGACGGAAACAAACAGAAAGGAATGACCAAATAAACTCACCAAGATTATTATCGCAATAACCAACAGAGGCCCAGAGCAGAGTGTGGAAAGAAAAATGCCGTGTGAATCGAAGTAATTCTGGCGTGCAAAGCTTTTCCAGTTTGCAGCTAATAAGCCATTAAGCCTTTCAGCGCTATACACTCCTCCAACTGCATCATAAGGAAACTAAGTAGCTGTTGGTTAACAGCCTCAAAATTTATGCTTTCAATTAAGCCACAAGTTTTTCTTTTTTACTTTCAATTTGAAAACCAACAAATATGTAGTTTTATAGATCCAAAACATAGACAACCAAGACGAGGAAATGAATAAATTCCAAGAGTTTAGCTTGTGTTCAAAGAACAAGAAATGCAATCACCATAAAACTGATGCTTCTGGGCGTTAACCCCCCTTTATTTTTTCTTTTCTTTTCATTTTTTGGTATTTTTAATTAAAATCATAAACTTTTACTCAGCTTCTTAAAGCGTGTAGTCACGCATTTTATCCAACTCAGCAAAGCAAATGCCACATAGGCTTGGTCAATGGTCAGAAGGATTTAAAATATTACTTTTGAACGAGTTAGAGGTGTGTAGATGAAACTTCATTAAGTTTGGGGACCGGGATGACAAAGTGGCACAAGTATAAGTGCCAATTAGGCTATTTTGCCTTTAAAATATAACCGGTAGTTAAAAAAAGAGCAAAAAAAATAACAAAAAACAAAAAAAATGCACGAAACAAAAGATGCTTTTTTGTTTTTCCGTTACTTTTCTTTCGAGAGGTTTGTTTCAACTTTTTATCAATCTTTTCCAGACTATATAAAGCAAAACTTTACATATCGAGAGACTTTTATGATACTTTCTTTAATTTGCAATTATATCCCCAAAAGACTTTATCTTTTCAATTCTGGTCCCCATATTTTCTGGGTGTAACTGCCCACATGATTCTTGGGTTCTGCAACACTAGTACTACTATATATACACACACAGACACACCTCCTTTCGTTCTCATATTTGTCGCCATTTGGAGAGTGTTTGCCCACTATTCATAGTTTCATAAGAGAGAGAAGCAAAAACAAAATTCAAAATATTTTTGTTTTGAATCCACAAAACAAACATCATAAATTGTCTACCGCCACTCAACTCATAGGATTATCCTTCTGTCTTGTCTTCTCTGTCTCTATTAGGCAACAGAAATAGCAGCGTAGTGACTGAAGCAAACAGCCATCTTTTTCAGACAGAAAAAAAAAATCTTTCTTTTTCTTCTTCAAATTTTGTTGAAGAAGAAATAATTAGATTTTATCTTGTTTTTGGTTCTTTTTCATGGACCCATTTGGATTCTTCATCTGTTTGTTCTAGTTGTTGATGTTTAATGGACCCTTCTTTTTCCTCCATTATTTCACCTATAGCACCACCCATTTCTCCAGTTTTTTCATCAGCACCACATTTTCTCCAGGTTACTCCATCTCTCTCTCTCTCTCTCTCTCTCTCTCTCTCTCTTTCTCTCTCTCTCTCTCTCTCTCTCTCAAGGGCTTAGATTTTCTTGGTTTTTAATTTTCAAGATCCAAAATTTAAAAATTCAAATTATGGGAGCTGTCATAGGAGTGCATTTAATGTTAGACTGAATTTTTTAATATATGGGTTTTTATTGTTGTTAATTCTCCTACATTTAATGTATTTGATGTTTATTTTTGCAATTTTATACTTTATTTTTTGGTAGTTTCAGTCATATCTTTTGGCTTTATTTCTTAGATTTTAGTCCATATTTAAACCAAAGCTGTCAACTTTAGCTTTGATTGACTTATATCTATTCATTATATGGAATCAGAGGTTCAAGTTGGGAGTCAGAAGCATCATATGGATCAAAACAGGAAGCTGCTCATAGCACTAATTGCAGCTTCTTCTGCATTGGGAGCAATCATATTTTTCATGATTTGCTTCTGGATTTATCACAAGAAGAGGTTACAGAAATCTGATTTGGACAGTAGTCATAGCTCAGGTACATTTTTCTTGATTTTCAAATATTCGAGCCGTGAAAACAACCTATGCAGAAATGCACGCTAAAAGACTGTGTACAATAGACCCTTATGGTTCAGTCCTTCCCGGACCCCGCGCATAGCGGGAACTCAGTGCACCAGGCTGCCCTTTTTACTATTATGATTATGATTATGTGATTTGCATATGATGTGCTGAGTTCTTTGTCTGAGATATCTTTGTTTTTGATTGTGAAGATGGTGTGAAGGGGATTGCATTAGGACCAGTAATGTGTAAATTCAATTCTTTGAAGTCCACTTATAGTAGTAAGAAAGCTGCATCTGTTTGTTTAATGGAGTACAAGACATTAGAATCAGCCACCAACAATTTTCAAGAAAGTGAGATTTTAGGTGAAGGGGGATTTGGATGTGTATACAAAGCTAAATTGGAAGATAATTTGTATGTAGCTGTCAAGAAACTAGAAGGTGGAACTCAAGATGCCATTAAAGAATTCGAGGTACCAACCCTTTTGTTTTCCAAACGATCGTTCTTGTCATGGCCATCCATCGATTTGTAACTTGTTGCTATTTCCTTTTATCTCTCAATTTGGATTTGCAGACTGAGGTAGAGTTGTTGAGTCAAATTCAACATCCGAATATAATTTCATTGTTGGGATATTGCATTCACGGTGATACAAGACTCCTCGTGTATGAACTAATGCAAAATGGATCTCTAGAAAGTCAATTACATGGTAGTATTATATTTCAAAAACTTAAGTTAGTATTAAACTCTTGAAAGAGAAATCTTGAAAATTAAACTCCTTGTCATTTTCTTGATTTGATGTGTTTTTTAGGACCTTCCCGTGGATCAGCATTAACATGGCACCAAAGAATGAAAATTGCCCTTGATGCAGCAAGGTGAGAAGGGTTTGTTAGAAAGTAGACAAGACCATGTGTTTTATTTAATTTGAATTATTGACATTTAAGTATTAACAAATTGCTACTGTTTGACCAGAGCATTAGAATATTTGCACGAGCACTGCAATCCACCAGTGATTCATAGAGATCTGAAATCATCTAATATTCTTCTAGATTCCAACTTCAATGCAAAGGTAAAAACTTTATTAGGATTTCCATTGCTTGTATGAGATTTCTTGATATCGATATTATTGCTGTCGCGATCTGAAATTATGCAGCGTGAGAAAATGGACCCAATCTCCGGTTTTCCCTCTTAATGTTGTGTTTAATTTCAGCTCTCAGATTTTGGTCTAGCTGTGCTCGGTGGGGCTCAAAACAAAAACAACATCAAGCTCTCTGGAACTTTAGGTTATGTAGCCCCGGAATACCTTTTAGATGGTATGCCATTCTTAACTCCTTAGCTTCTAATGTAGAAATTATTTCCCTTTTCCGCTCTCCATTTATTTTTTTTTGTATATGAAAATAACAATTACAATGAATTTTGAATAAAAGTTGAGAGATCATTAGAAAAGTATCCTTAAGCATAGAACTTGCACATGTGACCAAAGCGGACAGTAAGTAAGGCTGATCATTTGTTAAAGCAAAATGGTATAATTGCAGCCACTTTAATAACTTAAATTCCTTTTATTATGAGGGGTCAGTAATCACTGAGATGTTTTTACATTTTAAGAATTATTCCCCTTTTAAGCCTTTTTAAGGTCGTAAATCAATTAAATTAGGGCCCCAAAGAGGATCTACAAATCTGTATTCAAATACAAATAATCTTTACACAAATAGCCGGCCGGATTCACTTTTTACTTTTCCTAGCCGGTAAGCATAAATTATGCACTAATTATATTCGGTCATACACATATTATATATGGACTATATGTATATTATACATCCGCTGACTATTTTTAGTTTAACCGATTGGGTGAACAGCTATTTGGGTTAATTCTTGTAATTTTTAGTCCAAGTCGAATACCTTATAGGTGGATTCATTTAATTGTGCCAATTTGGTTTTTCTTTTCTTCTTTTTACCTCTATCTAAAAGAGTTAGCAATTTTTTATTTTATTTTATTTCGTTTGCAGGAAAGTTAACTGATAAGAGTGATGTATATGCATTTGGAGTTGTTCTTCTGGAGCTTCTATTGGGAAGAAGGCCTGTAGAGAAACTGGCACCAGCTCAATGCCAGTCTATAGTCACATGGGTAAGTATTTAATTGCTCTCAGATCCAATCCATTTTATTGAATATTTCATCTTTATGATACACATTTAATCTATCTTTTTTGGAAATTGAGGCTCAATGTTTAACTATTTATGGAAATGCAGGCCATGCCTCAGCTCACAGATAGATCAAAGCTTCCAAATATTGTGGATCCTGTGATCAAAGATACAATGGATTTAAAGCATTTATATCAGGTTTGTGCAAAATAAGCTCTTAGGCTAGCGGCATTCATATCTAACTGACATAACTTATCCTCATTCAGCATTGCCAAAACTGAGCTAACTTTAACTTTGGAATGTGACAGTTAATACTTTGTTACCCTTTGAGCCTTGGCGTAGCTGGTAAAGTAGTTGCCATGTGACCAGGAGGTCACGTGTTCGAGCCGTGGAAACAGCCTCTTATAGAAATGCAGGGTAAGGCTGCGTACGATAGACCCTTGTGGTCCGGCCCTTCCCTGGACCCCGTGCATAGCGGGAGCTTAGTGCACCGGGCTGCCTTTTTAACCTTTTATTAGTATTACGAAGAGGTCGTGAGAAGAGAGGTGTGTATGACTAGAAAAGCCATCAAACTATATAGGAATAAAATTAGGATTAACTAGGTCTGGTTTTATATTCTAACACTTTTGAGAGGCTAGCATTTGGCATAGCAACTAACATGCATCGACTGGAGAAAGCTTAACATCCGAAAAAGAACATTAAAATGAACCATATGGTTGATTAATGTCAAATATTTTGCGTCTCGCCCTCCACTAAAACAGGCTGGAATACCTGTATGCCTAATCTACGCAGAGTGGGTGCATTCAATGAGATGATACAAAAGCTGGTTTACTCTAGCTTATAACTTATTTAGCTTTTACGTACTAGATTAGAGCATTTGAAATTGAGAGTGGTGTTCTCTCTTATGATGATGTGTAGGTTGCTGCAGTTGCTGTGTTGTGTGTTCAGCCTGAGCCAAGCTATCGCCCCCTAATAACGGACGTATTACATTCGTTAATCCCCCTTGTTCCGGTAGAATTAGGTGGGACCTTCCGAGTTACTACACAACACGTGCAGGCGCCTTTTGCTGCCGTGTGATGCCTTCAGAGTGCTGATTCTGTCAAAGAGTTTACGGTCTGCAATTCGAAGTTGCTGCCTTACCAATTTTGCATCACTTCTCTGCACAATTTTGGTTATTATACTAATGCAAGTCAAGGAGGGATGTTGGTCTAGCCCGAGCACAAGATAATTCAAGTATTCAACCTCAATTTTCTATGTAAATTGAAGCAAGTGAATTTGATTTATGAAATTGGTGTATATAGAAAAGTCACCTGAACTGTTAATGTATTCACAAAAATTGGATTTTTTCAATTTTCGGCTTATTAACATTTATTTTATCTGGGGACATTTATAGTCCCATGGAAAATAATGTGAGAAGTAGAATGTTTACATTAAAGTTTTTCGTTCTCTTTCCACAATAAGAGAAGCGAGAAATGCTTCATCAATTAATTGAAAATTTCATATACCATTATACTTTTTAAAAGCATCACATTAGTCCTTCATTTTTTTTTTTAAAAGCATCACACTAGTCCTTTTAATTGCTACAGCTTATTTTTGCATCTTTTCTTGTGCCGAAGGTTTATCGTAAGCAGTTTTTTTACTTTCATAAGGTAGGGGTAAAGTATACGTACACATTACCCTCTCCAGACCCAACTCGGGAATTACACATTTTCTTTGTTGTTGTTATTGTTGTAGTCTAGTGCGTTTAACTTTTACTTTATATTGGTCTAGGCCTTCCACCAATTTTAACCATTAAAATTTAAAGAATAAGGTCTAATCATGGTATTTCTCCTAAACAAAAGAAAATAAAGAAGGAAAGCAAGGTCTTAAGTTGTGGAGTAGTAATAATACAAAATGGGAATTTATTGGAGAGATATCCTTCTGTTATTTACGATATTATTCTTAATTTAACCAATTTATCCCACTTTATTGACATTTTTCACTTATTGAAGATCAATTAGTATAGCTGGTACTACATCTTGTTAGTAATTTTACTTTTACTCAATTTTACATATTCAAGAATTAAATATAAAGTCTTCTTATATTAAAATTGCAAGAGACACTTTTCCAAATCTTAGTAAAAGTTAATTAGTCTGCATATCGAGAAATGAATTAGGAGTAATATGCTAAATCTGTAATTTTATTTTAGGTATAAATTCAAACAAAAACAAAAGCATAAAGCCCAAACAATAAAATAACATTGACAACCATGGGCTAAAAAATTCATGGTGTGTCAATAAACTTTAAAAAACATATTTTAGTAATTATTGAAGTCAAACTTAAGTTGATAGAGTTCTTTTGTTAGTCCGGAAACAAATTATTGTTATTTTGGACTCAAAATACATAAATAGGTGTAAAAAAAAAAAGTTATCATATTATGTATAACGCCAGAAAATCTGGCGCTATATAATAACGGTAACTGCACCGTTAATGTATAGCGCCAGATTTTCTGGCGTTATACTGACACAGTGATATAGCGCCAGAAAACCTGGCGTTATATCCCTCAATAAAAAACCCTCCATCTTCTTCACCGTCGCCTTCCTTCTTCAAATATTTTACTCCTCTATCCCTTGGTCCCCCCACTGTAAACTGTCCGCCAATATAAAAAATAAAAAATAAAAATTTGGGTCCCCCCGGCACATAAAACTTGAAGAACGTAGGTCCCACACTCGAGTAGAGCTTCTTGTTATTGTTGATTCACGCTTTCGGAGTCAAAATTTCGATCTATTTGCTTTCCGAAAATTCTAAATCGAGGTATTTCGATTTATTTTAAGTTGAAACTTTTATAATAATGCATATTATTTGATTTGTATGTGTTCTATTTCGGTTTGTGTTTTTTTTCGAAATTAGCATCTTAAATTTATCCGGATTTAATTTTACTGTTTTATATAAAAATATAAATTTGTCAAATAAATTTGTCTGTTAATATTCTCATTTATATATATGTGCTTTCATGCCGTTTTGTGTTTTATTTGCAATTAAATTTATTTGTTGTTTATGTTTAGTTTAGATTATTTTTTAGCGTAGTAAAATCTAGACCTTTTTAGCGTAGTAAAACGTAGACCCTTTTAGCGTAGTAAAATTTAGAGCCTTGTAGCGTAGTAATGTGTAGTATTTTAGCTTAGAATTCCTTTTGTTTTAGTATCTTATACTGGTATTTCGATCCTCAAAATATGGAGCCCGGAACCCATACGTAAGTAATTTATACAATTAAGTTATTAAAAAATATGAATTTCAATTATAAAAAAAAATATATAGCCGATATGCCTCAAAATATGGAGCCCAGAACCCATACGTAAGTAATTTGTACAATTAAGTTATTAAAAAATATGAATTTAAATAATAAAAAAATACATAATTATTAATGATAGTTTGGTGCCACTGGGCCTCAAAATATCG